ACGCAGCTTAATATGCAAATGCCTTGGATATATGTACATATACTTGAAATTTTAGTAATAAGCAATTGCGAACAGAAGTTCAAAAACAAGAGTAACTCTTGTCTTTGCGGAGATTGTGAAAAAAACTTCATTTATATCCTTCAAAAGTATTACCCTGGGTACTTCACACCAGGATAATCATGGTGAAGTAATAATTTTCTATACTTCCACACCAAAGAAATATCATGTGTGTGCTAATTGCATTTTCCTGAAAACTTGTCAGATTCATACAAAATCTTATAAAAAGGAAATAAATTATTCGTTTTTCAGTAATTGTTTGAAAAAGTTCCAATTACCTATATCCTGCCATAAGACCTTCATAATCACAGCTACTTTTCTGTAGAAATCACCATCCATTTTTAATCCATCCAGGAAAAACTGCATTTAGAAATTGTTTCTAGCGCATGAAACATCATTTTGTCAAAGTTTTATTTCAAAGTGTTATTGAATGTAAAAGAAAATGTGAGGAAACAATTCGAAAATTAAAAATTTTTACGTTTTGTTCATAAATTTTTGGTTTACTTATATACAAAATTAGAACACAACCAATAAATATAGGAAAATGTATGTAACATTTGATTTAGTTATATTTGAAAAAAATACCACGCACTTCTTACATTTATCAAGTTTACAATTGGTGCAAGATAATTTATTTCAAATACCTAGCCACGCACAACTTAATTTATTAAGTTACAAAGAATTTCATAAATTTAAATGCAATTTTTTTCTTCGAGGATAATTCTAAAATTCGTTGTAAACCAAATATTAATTTCGTAATTGTTAAATTTATCTGCACATCGAAGAAAGCAATGCAAAGATAATTATGTGCTAATTAGATTTTTATGATAAATTAAATTCATACAAAATCCATAAAACCAACGAAATAAATACTATTTCGAAAAATTGCCATTTATTTATACTGATTAAGCGGAAAGTACTATATCTGGATAAAGAACTTAATTAGTTTTCTATAAAAATCACTACAACTTTTAAATCAATCCATGAACATAGAAACATATTTTACTGTTTCATAACGTGCTTACTAATAATTTGAAACTTACATTTTTGCACTTAATTTTATCATAATTTCGACACACCTCGCTTCCTAAACAAATGACCAAAAAAATCTTGAGCATTGAGTTTAAAAGAAAATCGTAGAAAAAGTGATCTATTCTTATATTTAAGAACTTTAATTTTTAATTTAAGAATCTTTTAATTTAAGAATTTTAAAAAAATACCACGCACTTCTTACATTTATCAAGTTTACAATTGGTGCAAGATAATTTATTTCAAATACCTAGCCACGCACAACTTAATTTATTAAGTTACAAAGAATTTCATAAATTTAAATGCAATTTTTTTCTTCGAGGATAATTCTAAAATTCGGCCGTTTATGGCCATGGAGTCAAAACCTTCTAGGGTTAAGGTTCACTCAGGTCGAACTATCAATGGTAAAAATTTCAAGCCGATCTGTTATTATCAACCTCGCAAGCTCCCCTCCTTAGGGGAGGTTTGGAATTCAGCACATTAAGGCACGTGCCGTGTAATTGGGGAGACTGCAATAAGCCATAAGTGCTTACGCAGCTGATTGGTCCTGCCCAATTAATGGCAGGATCATCACCCCACCAAATACATACATACATACAGGACCCTAGATGAAGGATTCATTCATATTTCTGTGCAAAATTGATACTTGCCGCCGTGGCGTGGCGCCCATATCGCCAAATTTGAATCTTTTCGTTTTTAAAACCGCAATAACTGTTTAAATCCTCGACAGATTTCCAAAAATGTTTACGGAATTCATGACAGAGAGTTCAGCTTTCGCATGCGAGGAAATTTTTCAAAAAATTGGTTTTTTAATTTTTTTCAAAATTTCAAAATTTCAAAACTTTTTAAAGTTATCTCAAAAAATAAAATTTGTGTTTTTTTATTTAGCTCGTTAAATCTTGACCTTTGTGATCAGATTAAGGCCAAAAGTTTGAAAATCTCATGGAAACTACAAAAGTTATCCAGGTTTGAAATTGGTCGAAAACGTAGATTTTTAAATTTGCCGCCAAATATGAGTTTTACAGGGAAATCTGAATGGATCCTTCATCTAGGGTCCTAGTAGATTCTAAAAAACATAGTGGGTACCCTGGACACGAAATATACCTCGATAGTATATCTGGTAAGTACGAATTTTCAACAGCTCAGAAAATACCCAAGGTTTAATTCAACTAAAAATTACAACCTTGATTATTAAAAATGTATACTCTTTCCTGTTCAATAAATGCATCAATATTCGCTAATTGTTATTCTTGGCTGTCTTGATATTAAAGCAGCACCTTTCAAGATTTGTTCGACAAAAATGCGTTGAGTATATCATCGAAATACATACCCACAGAATGATTTTTCACAATCTCTTTTTGAGTATCTCAAATAATGATCGATTAATTTAGCTTTGAGAAGCTGCGTTCAGCTGTAAGAACACTGACGGAAACTGTCATAATTATGCACAAAGAAATCCATTTTTAAAAATTCTCACCAAACATGATTCGGTGAGCGCCGAGGATAAATAATAACGTAAAATTATAACGTAAAATAATAAAATAATAAAATACGCATAAAACAAATCGTTAAATTTTACTTAAATTAAAATTAAAATTCTTTCTTTAAATTTATTTATATTTTCTTTAAAGAAATCGAAAACCTAACCGGAAACTTCTTTAAATTTTGTATTTTCTAAAAAAACTTCGCATTTTCTGATTTTTCGTTAGTCATACCATACGTTACATCCGTTACAAATAGTCTACTCAAATGTCACCTAAAGTTTGACGAGGAACATGAAAAATCCTCTTTAACATTGGTCGATATGGTGAAAATTTCAAAAGTTGTGAAGACAAATACCGAAAAAATTCACTTTTTACGATCAAGTTTTACACTAGATACCAAAAAATATCCTTTTTTTAGAAATTTTTGTGTCAGCTTAATTTACGCAATACAGAAATGTGTGCATTTCGTTCTCAACGGAAAATAAAATACTACCTAAACAATTATGCGTGTAGTTCGTCCTTAAAAGGTACGTGTCACAGGTATATTCGGATCTATTTATTCTTGGAGAATACTATAGCAACTGCCAGACATGTTTCCCATTGATCTTCTTACATTACTTACAAATTGCTGAGGGTCGAATTTCTATCTGTGAACGAGTTTTACCTTTAATATCTTTGGCGTTATTTGTAATTTCAACTTGAAATTTTGATGGCTGGTAGATAATGTCGTCGAAATTGTTGGTTTAAAATTTTAAGTCGCTAGTGTCAATACCGCCAGAAATATGGATATCGGAAAAAAGAGTCACGAAAAATTCTGTTCGAAAACCACTTAAATTTTGCAGTGTGTTATATTTTTTAATCTCTAGAAAAATACCTATAACAAAATTTGATGAACGTGGAATCAAAATTCTTGACGTGCATCTAGCTTTCAGAAATAACTCAAAACTCAACAAAAAATTCCAATCCCTTCGCATACCACATCGAAAAAATTATGAGATAAAGTTGTCAAAATGTTAAACATGAATTTTTTCCGTCACAAAGGTTGACATTTTTTGTTGAAAGTTGAAATTACAAATAACGCCAAAGATATTAAAGGTCAAACTCGTTCACAGATAGAAAGGCGACCCTCAGTAAGTAAGTACGCATATGCAACAATAAGTATGGCACTTGAGCTCGGAATTTTCTACCTTATTATTAATACTAAGGTTTTAAGTTGGCAAAAAATTCGCCTCTGCACCTTGCAAAACTATGTGTCACATCTGGACTTTCCGGTTTTCTCCTGCACTTCTTTCTACGACTCTCACCTTCACCTTCATCGAATTTCACATTCTGTGCAAAACTGATTGATTAATTTCTCAACCAAATTCTCAGCTAATTCCTCAGTTGGAGCTTTTAATAGTTTTTGAACCCTTTTTAATGTCTAAAACGGATTCAATCTCCTTGTTTTCAGTGAGAAACCATGGTTGATCGGATCGTTTTACTTAATTTCTTTCCTTTGAATGTTTTTAAAGGCATTAGTGACAAAAAAACCACACCTTGTTGCAAGCCATAATTTACCAACAAAAACAAGCAACGCGAAAGAACTATTCTGTACCTATTTTTTAAAATGATTTGTCACTGATACGAAGTTAATTGAATCCAATTTTGAAATGTAAAAAGGCCCTTTTTAAAAGGGTTCACAAATTTAGCAAAAGCTAATTACAGTTGATTTTGGTTAAAATTAATGAATTAATGAGACATTTTGCATAGAATGTGAGAACCGCAGATGGAGTGTAGAGAAACGTAGCATTTTTTACAAAAATTTCACAGGTATGCAATTGCGTTTTCGCATATACGATTTGTGCTGAATTATGAAATAACATATAAATAGATGTAAATTCATACGAAAAAAGAGACGATCTGCCAATGCTGAGGTTTTGTAGACATATTTGCGTCCGACGATGCAAAAACATGACGTAAATTCAGAAAGCGTAAAATTTGTCACGTTTTCTCTTTGGATGCAAATATTACTAAAAAACTAAGCATTATCAGATAATTTCTGCTACAAGTTCCGCATTGATCATATTTGTGTACGACTGACACTTATTTGGGCGAAATCTGTAAGCATTCTTATAGAGAGCTATGCATCTAGCACTGGTCCATGTGCTGTATAGGTAAAATTGTGTGTAGATAAAATCGTATCGTACCGGCGGACCTTTTTTTTTAAGGGGTTCAATTTTTCCGGGACGGGAGAATTTCCGTTTGCCGGGACCGAAGCAGAAATCGAACCCACGAATTGTATTATGTTGTTGATACTATAATGGTGACGAATTTTCTAAAATTAAGAGTCTTAATTTAAGACCCGCGAACTGATTAAAAATGTTGATTTTGAGTATTTTGATGAGGAGTCAATAATTTAGGAGCTATCACAAAACGAAAAAAATGACGTACGTCCTTAAGTTTCGTTCCACATGTGCCAAACTTGACCTTGAAATCTACCGGCCTGTCGTCCAAAGGGGGGTCAGATTTTCGACAGTTAGGATCCTCCGAAAATCCCTCGACATATAGGAAACCATTGAACTCTCCGAATGTTGCGTATGGTTCCGTTTTGTGAATATCGATGTCGACTTGAACTCCATCCGCTAAACAGTTAACCCTCATATTTGGTGACGGGAAATCGAGACGAGGTAGCGTTGGTCTAACTGGAAATATTTTCAGAAAGGAGACACATTAAGTCAGGAGTAATTTTTTATTCGAAAATTATGTATTAACCCCTCAGGAGTGTGATTAATTAGTAGTCGTAGAATTCCCAAATTTTCTGAAATAAATGTTACGATTTAACATGGAAAACAGATTTTAAAATGGAGGAAATCAATGACCTTCTTGAAAGGACAATTTTGTTCCTCTCATACATTAACCACCGTTTTTCAAGACGAATTTTATCTTCGACCCGAATCATAAAACCATTTCTTCAAAAAATAAAATTGTCACGTGTCAAAAGGTTAAAACATTGCATACTAACCGCAGCCCTCGTCTGGTGTAGGATATCCTTTCGTTCCCTCTGGACATCGACAAATAGCGGCGTGCCGGATAGCTGTACAGTGCGCGGTTGTGGGACACACATCCATTAAGCACGGAGTGATACACGTGCTATTCTTTGCGTAACAGAACTTATCGTCTGGACAATCATCATCTATTTTTGGATATAATAAAGAAAATACACTTTTCCACCGTTGATACTCTATTTATAGCCGGGTCTGAAGGCCAAAATTGATAAATCTTATGAACGATTACATGCTGTATTTGCTGCTCGAAATTAATTTCTTTATATGAAATATGCATGTACAAGGTCTTGGTGCACTCTAAATAACTTTGATTAAAATTTACTTAATTTTGAGCAGAATTTCCACAAACACAAGTCAAATTTATCCAAATTTGAAGGATTTTTGCTGAACCTGGAGTAAATTTTACACAATGGGTTTATTAGTGACAATTTTGCTTTTGATCTTATCTACAGTGTGTATAAAAATATATCCCGGCGTATGAAGCCTGCAGACCCGGCTATAAATAGAGTATTTACGGTAGTTCAATAGAAATTTTGAAATTATAAGGACAACGTTTTTTGCACATACTTACCAACTACACAGATTGGTTGACAATAACCGTTCCTGAGAATATATTTGTGGTCGATTGGACAAATACATTTTCCTAGATTGTCTATAATCATTCCCCCATCTGGAGTAGTTACTCGCTCATTGACTTCTTCCAATGGACATGGAATGCAAGTGGCGTTCTGCTCCCACAGACCAAATCCATGTGGACAGACGCATTTCCCGCTGACGACCAACACATGGCCCACGTCTAACGGACTCACTGGAGCCGGAAGACGATTGAAATTAAAAATGAGAAAGGAATAACTGATGGAAATCACTGAATTTAAACGAATTTTATCTTTATCCCCTAGATAATAAAAACTTATTTTTGCCCTGTTCAATCTCAGCCAGCCCCATCTCACATTTTCCTGGCGCATGTTCGCTACGCATTACAAACTTGTAAGGTTGTATTTATTAGGTAGTTTTTTTAATTAGCTAGGTATTTATTCAAGATTGATGTAGCGTTAGCTCTTAAAATCATCCTTCATTCATTTCACAAAAAGCATGATTTCACTCTAAATATACAAGTCAACCAATTTCTAAAAGTATGTCCTTAGTTGTCGGTATTATCCATAAAGTAGCACCCGGCATCCCCATACAGGCTAACGGCACACCATTACAAGTACATGACAGGCTAATTATCAAATGATAAAATGTGATGAGGGAAAACCGATGACGGTCTAGAAAAACCTCTACATGTAAAAACCTCTACAATGGTTGGGAAGATACACCATTGTATCTTCCCAATACAATGGTGTATTGGGAAGATAGTCCAATACACCATTCGGCCCATTACCATAACCCAGGTAGGAGAATGAATGGCAGTGACACATAGACGGATTCCGTGGGGTGGTGTTGGTATCCAAACGAGGATGGCGTCTGCAGGCGGGAGAAGACAGTGGAAGGTTGTTGGGCGGGGAGTGTCCACGGACCGCGGGCCACTGCCGTAGCTGGAAGCCGTAGCCGGGGCCTAAGACCCCCCACTTACCCCTTCCCCGATCACAACCCGTACAGATCATGGGACCCCCGTAGACCCAACTATGCTGCCCTCCGCAATGCACGACCCCCCTCATTCTTCCGCCGACCACTCCCCACGGTTAACCCCGATATACCAAGCAAAAACCCACCTGGGAGAGTTCCTCCATGGTGTTGATCCTCCTGTGCACTTGGTCCGGCGAATCCGTCTTCGCCTGATGGCTCAGCTTGTCGTTGCTGGGACGGGTGTGGAAGGGGGATCACCAGGCTCGCATATGGGGTGTGTGAGTGGACGAAGCTCACTTGGCAATAAGGCCTGCGATACACTTGACTAGCCATGACACACCAGCGACCCAGATGGAAGAGGATCCAGATGCAGAGCGAGAAAGAGATACGTGATGCACAGGAGGAAGCCAAAGTGGAACTTTGGCTATATTTGTTATATATTTATATTTATTATATTACTAAATAGTAATACTATTGTAATATACTAATAGTAATAGTAATACTATTTCGTACCTATATTCATTAAGTTAAGTTTAGTGAACATGTCGGCTAGGAAAGTGTGGGATGGGGCAATACGTGGCAAAAATAAATTTGAATTTTTGGGCAAAGGTAAACTAACAATGGTCAAGACGAAAACTGAAATATCAAACTTACTGTGGTTTGCAGGTCTGGAAAGTGACTGAATAATACGAAATAAAAGACATATCATTAGCATTTTTGGGATAATTTGTTTATGAGTATGAATAATTATTTAAGTATGTATGACGCAGGCCCCGATTTTGGGGAGGGCAAGCGGGGCAATTGCCCGGGGCGCCAGATTCCAGGGGGCGCCGGTTGGCGCCCGGGTTTACACTAGATATAATTGAATTTTCCAGTGCTAAATAAACTTAAATATTATAGTTAGATATTAAATATAAAGTTAAAGTAAAGGTATTTATGGCATATTTAATTTGACTTTACCAGTTTATGTATATTAATGATAATTTGAACCTGAAGCTGATAAGACAGAAACAAATTGATTTGGATAAGGCTCTCAAGGTTCGATGAGCTAATATTTCTGAGACCGACGGTAGATCTTTCGCAATTCTGCCGTCGAATTGTATTTTTCAAGTTCTAACTCTAGCTCTTCTAGGTAAATTTTTCTATTCGAGAAATAACCAAGTCTGCGATGTTTGGCGCACCGGTGGTCAATATTTTTTAAAGCGGGTTTCACCAAAAGTTTCCTAACTTTGTTTCCCCACTTTTTCTAACTGCCCCGGTGAATTTGCTTTGTACCAATCTAAGCACTGATTACAATTACTGATTTAAATTAAATTTGTCCAAAAAATGGAATTCATAATTTGTAATTGTAAAGAGTGGTCACATATTGTAAGCATACGTGTTCAACGAGAAATTATTCATTCAAATCTTCATTCATTCAAATGTAGTACGGGCAACATTCATTCAAATAATACTCATTCCTTCATTCCTTCATTCAAATATTCATTAATTTATTCGAAAATTACCAAATTGACGTTTATCATGCACAATATTTGCTTAAATCATTTGGTAATTCAGCAGCATGAAATATATGATATTCATACATATAAGTAATTATTCATATGCGTGCCAACTAAAACTGCAAATTTAAGATAAATTCAAAGGATAATAAAGAAATCAGCCAGAAGGGTCCCCGGAATGTAATGCTGCACATAATACATGAAAATTTCTACCACAATAATAATGAATGAATGAGAAATATCAGCCAGCAGATACTCATTCTCTTCAGAATGATGTAAATTAGTTAGAAATTTATTCATTATTGGTTTAGTACATTCACTCATCCCGTTATTCAATTCAAAATTGTATTCATTCATTCATTATTCATTGAATAAATGAAAGAAGCATATTTATTCATTCACAATTCATATGATTTTGAATAATTCACACTCATTCATTATTCATTATTCATTACTCACTTTACTGAATGAATGTGAACAGGTATGATTGTAAGTGTCAAGACGGTTAGATCTGTAAAACTGAACTAACGAATCAAATGTAATGAAACTTTTCTGCAATACTAACGATAAGCATACGGAAGTTCTGAAATCTTTAAGTGGTCCAAGTACACCTTGCATGCCAGTGGAGCGAAGACTTTGTCGCACGCCTCTCATGAGCGCTTCGCCAGACACTTTTTCTACATCTATGACGGTAACCGGGCATCTTATACCACCACATGTCATGTAATTGTGTCTCAATTAATGCCCAAAACCATTTAATTGATCGACATTTACGTGCGTTTGGAGCGTTTCTTTTTCTCGACGAAATCAACTTTTTACACTTTATCAACAATTTCTTGACAATTTTTTAGGCTCAATGTTTTTGACCTTTTTGGTGCCGTTTTAGTTTCGTATGCTTTCAAGCCTATGTTCCTGGCTTTGATGTGTTGAGGATAACATTTCGGAATTTTAATTTTTTGGCTCCACCTCCCAAGAATATCTGGAGGTTTCTCTATGGGTTTTTCCCCGATTCTTGTTAGAGTTTTGGTCCCCTAACAGACAAGTCGACCAGCGAAATTTTATAGTTTGAATTTCTCCGATCCTCAGATATGTCAACTATACGACCAATTTTCGACCTCGAAAAATGAAGTGATCATGAGCTTTTTCCTATTCGAAAAACACTTTTTGGAACGAGTGGCGAATTTTAAACACCCTCTGAATTTTGTGCTCTCTTTTTTTTAAAAAAAAGATAATCAAATTCCGTTTTCAGCTTTAGGAATCTGATTAAATTTTCCAATTTTTATACTTTATAAATCCAGAATTAATTTTTAACTGGTTGAAAAAATCGGGAAGGTTGACACTTTCAATATGTGCCCACTCTTAAATTTATCACGTGAACGGAGCAACCAAAATAATTGCATTACTTTTCAAAGATATAAATTACGCTAACTAATGCTTTCTGTGTACATAATCGAAATAGTGTATTTTATAATTTGACTTTTTGAGTTATTAGGCTAGTAAATCCATACGCCTAGAATGTATTTTGGATTTCCAAAAATATTTTTTAAATACTATGGGTATTCACAACTTCGCAAATGTCGTAAACATCGCTTCCCAACATATCTTCGCAAGTTTGCAATGTTTGCCAAGAGTTGCGATGGACAACCAATCAGATTCCTTTATTATTTTACGAAATATGCGAAGCAAAATGGAATCTATTATCGCGCTTGAACTATTTCTCACAAACTCGTAGTCAAGTGAAATTTTCAGGTCTGCTCTCATATTCAGTTTATATATTTTCATGCAAAATAAGTCCTTTCGCACGCACCGAAAAGTTTGCGAAGATGTGGTGCGAAGCAACGACTTTGAATTACATTAATACCCACACTGTATTTGTATTTTGTGTTTTGCCAACAAATAATGCAAGCATTTTTTGATGGGCTTTGAACTTCAAAGCATGTAAAGTATTTCTGTTATTTTATATTTTCAAACCGTATGTTTTGAACATCTCTGCAACCAAAACCTTGCTGTGGTACTACCTTGTAGATTATGAAGCTGCATCCGCGTCAAATATGCGGCGTAGAACAGTGTTTATGTCGCCCAATTTAGTCTATGCCCTTTTTAGGCCGAGGAAAGCGTACCCTGCGAGCGCCGAAGGCGCGAGCGGCTAGGGGCGCCAAATTTTTTTGCCCCGGTTAGATTTTTGGCAAGCGCGGGCCCTGGTATGACGTATTTGTAACGAATTTACGTTGTATCCGCGTCTTAAAACAAGCTTCAGTACATGTAATTTGATCGAAATGTGGCCAAGTGCATGGAGCATTTTGATCACATTTCACTAAAATCAAACACCTCGAGGTCAATGGATGTGGCAGGGTGGGCATTGAATTGTACTGAGAAATGTCAAAATTTTGTAAAAATTAACATTCAGTTTTAGTTAAAATCTGCCAGAAGGAGGGCAGATTTTACGCAGCAGTGTGAAAATGGTGCTAACCAATTAGTTTCCAGGAACGACTACAGGAGTAATTACTACTTGAGTTTTCAGGATGACTTTACTTTTGTCTTCCTTGTGAATTAAAAAATTTCTTATAAAACGACTTTTGTCCTCCTTACCCCTTAAAAGGTTAATTTGGCGCGTGTACCTGATAAATATTTAAACCGCCCGTTGTTTTCGGCAAATGCATTCATTCTTCAATTAACTGTGGGTGGAGTACTGTGTCACGCAGAAAGAGGACGACTTTTTTTGGTCGACAAAAATTACTAATTTATGTGATGGTTGATGTACAACGAAGAAAACGGGCAAAAAAGTCGAAAATAATCTATAGGAAACTAATGCACGTGTACCTGGATATAATAATTTTTGTGTAAGGTATACGCTTGACTAAAATATGCTAATCTCGCTGATTGTGAAAATTGTGAATGAGAATAAACAAGGCAGACTACTTAGGATTAGTATTAAATAGTTACTGCATCTGTATTATTGATTAGACCTAAGATCAACCCGGTGTGTTCCAAATGGCAAATAGCCAAAGCACTTTTTCATGCCTTCTGGGTTTTTGAATGCTTCTTTAACCCTTTGCTTCCTGTTGGACTTATTGTCCTTTAATCATTAGCAAACAAAATTTCCAGAGTTTTGCGAATTTTCAAAATCTACAGCAATTTTGAGGTTCTTGAAAAAATTCTGACCATTTTTTTAGTTACCTGAACAGAATTTCAAAATATTTCAAATTTTATATTGGGTGATATTCTCGTAAATGAGTTTTTGTTTGTTGGATTTTGGTATATTGACTAATCCATTCCATTATTATCAACAAGGGAATACGGCACGTATTTTTGCAGTGCAAAAAGGCAGGTTAGCAAACATGATCTACCTTTTTTTACTAGAGCACACTGTCTCAACCCCCACATTATGTGGGCCACATAATTTGCAAATCAGTGCACCACACACAAAACTTGGACGGATAGAGAAATAAGTGCGAGGACCAGTTACTCAGCCAGTGTAAAGTATGTTGACCAGTCGACTGGACTAATATGGCTGTTGCTTGACCAAAAGTAAAATGCAGCAGAGCTTGTTATGATCGGATTCATTATTTTTTTTCGTATCCTTACTATTCTTCATAGCGTAACGTCGTAATTTATTATATATTTATTAGCGTATAATAAATTACGACGTTACGCTATGAAGAATAGTAAGGATACGAAAAAAAATCATGAATCCGATCATAACAAGCTCTGCTGCATTTTACTTTCGGTCAAGCAACAGCCATATTAGTCCAGTCGACTGGTCAACATACTTTACACTGGCTGAGTAACTGGTCCTCGCACTTATTTCTGTATCCGTCCAGGTTTTGTGTGTGGTGCACTGATTTGCAAATTATGTGGGGGTTGAGACAGTGGGGGCTAGTAAAAAAGGTAGACCATGTTTGCTAACCTGTCTTAATAAGTTAACTTAATAAGTTACGACGGTTAGGAGATTTTATATGCGCCGTAACATTTTGTTGTCAAAAATCGCTCTACAATGGGGGTATTCACGCCAACGTCGTATTCATAAGCACAATTCAATTAGCAAATTTGCGTAGCTACAAAAAGTCGTGTGGCGATGGGATTCGCAAAATTTGTCTTGGAAAGTCTTGCAAATCTTTAAAAATATCTAGTTTGACATTGTTTCGATGAATTTCTATAATTTTTCTCGCTCGTGATTATGATGATCAGTTTGCGAAAAAAATTTAGGAAATAAAAACATGCCCAGATGATGGGTAAATTTGCGAAAAAAAATCCCACAGGTTTTTCGAAATCTGACAAGTTATGTTCAATTTGCGAAAGTTGACGTGAGTAAGCTCCGTATTTACGAAGCTTGTGCGCTTATTTTTTTAGTAACGTATTTTGTCGACATTAAGGAATACTCAATACCCCCAATATTTTAATATAAAATTAAAGTAATTATTTTTTGGGATCTAATAATTGCGCGCTGATCTAATAATTATCAATTTTAAATTTTCATATTTATCTAAATTTGTACAATGCCATCCCAAATTTATCTGGGAGACGAATAAACAAAATGCTTAAAATCAAGTTTGCACAAGTTGGTGATTATTTCTTTAGTACCCTTAAGGCTAACCCATTCTCAACTCGGTCATAATTCATCGGCAACCAAGGTTTCGGGTGACATTGACAAGTGACATTAAGTGACTGACATTAAGCGACAATAACCGGTTGTTGTCACTTGAGATTTAGTGACATTAAGTGACACGTGACATCAAGTCATAAATTGGTGAATATGAGATAGAAGTAAACGATAGAAGATAGATGAACTTAAATAGATAGAGGTAACTTAAACTTCGTGGATTGATGCAACAGCTTCTTATTGTGATCCATTAGTGCCTTTAATTAAAAATAAACCGTGAAAATGAATGTACATAAGTTCGTGTATACACTCTTAGCAACTTGGTAACAAAACTCCAGATTTCGTTGACACCAACCGTCGGTGTCAACGTCAAATCCATTAAATGGTGTCAGAATGTTGTTGAAAAATGACACTGAAAAAAAATATGTGCTGACACCGTACAAGTAACAGCGATGTTTCTTCAATGGTGAGACCGAGTAAAAATCCGGTAAAGAATGGGCACAGCCCAATGTTAACGCGGGAGCTAAAATTCTAAATCAACACTGGATTGTGTCAGTCTTTCTTCGCAACGCACGGTTCGGTTTGGCCGTTATTATTTTCTTTCTTGACAAAAAAGATTAACAAAAATGGATAAATTGACCCGTGTCTCTAATTCACTGCGGGGAAAAAAATTAATTGTTTGTAGTGGGGACTATTATCAATTTATTGAATCAGGTATATAACAGGTTAATATTATATTAATTTATGTATAAGGTTAAAATTATTTTACTCCGTGCATTTTTACACTAAATTTATTCGTTTCAGTGAAAATAAAATTCGATATTGGACCTGACGCCGAGATCAGTCTTCAAGATCACGAGGGAGCCGAGATTGATGAACAAGTCTTCCCAATTTTATTGGAACAGCCGGCCACCCCTAATATAGAGTTCATCATCAAAGGGGAGGAGCAAGCTGAATTGTCCTTGGATTATTCATTTGCGCCGAGCTCATCATTAGTATATTGTAATTGTCATCTTTAATTTTTCTGCAGCTACATATTTACCTATAGCCTTAATTAGATCCTTGGCCTTAAAAACTTTCTACATTTCCAGCTGAAAACTCAACTAAACACGGGAATTCATTGCCAGTGCTGTCACCTATTAAAGCAGTGCCACAAAGTCCCCAATTTACCCAGGTAAAGAATGCGATTATAAGTTTCAATAAATTAAGTACTATTTTATATAAGTTTTTCTTAGATCTTGGAGTCTATGGTGCAAAATGACCTCGAGCTAAACCGATTGGTCCGCGATTGCAACGATAAAGGATTTGTCGACAGCGCAACTTCTTCCGTTCTGATTAAGTCCTTTGTCGCAAAGTTAATTGAACTGAAAGGGTTAGGCAAATTTTAAGGCATTACTAGGTTAATTACAATATGTTCTTTAACATTAGATAGTCGTTTATATATGTATGCATAAGGCTCATCAGGCTGCTCTTATTACACATATTACATGTAGTTTCTTCATTAAATTTCAGTGAGTCGCCGTCTACTGCTGATCAAAAATTACTTGCACTCGGAATAATTTCCATAATCCCTTGTTGGAAATATTCGGCCTCAGAGAATGGAATTGTATGGGAAAATTATACATTTTTTTAATTTACAAACTTAATGTTAACTTTTTTCATAGGACATACTTTATGACGAGATAAACCGGTCCGGACTGATCCAATCACGCCTACGGTCAATTCATCGAAATTTAAAGGGGACCAAGCCACCCAAACGCGTTCAGCCAACGTCGAATACTGGACCAAAGCCGAAATTTCCTAAGCCAAGCCTCGAGGAATCCAGCGATGAAAATGTGGATTTGATTGCCCAATTAAATTCCACCACTCTGAAGGACGAAGGCGAATTGAAACGCCTGACCCTCGAAACATTTTCTCATCGCAACTATTTGAGACGGACGAGTGACCCATCCATTTTAAGGTTATATAGGAAATTTCAGGAATGGAATTTAATGGTGATATTTATAATACATAAAACTAATTTTTAAACCAACTCAACTAATCAAATATACTGACATTTTTTTCTTAGATTAACTTCGAATTCTCACAGTTGTACCCGGAAGAGGAGAATAATTTTCTGAATTCGTGGCAAATTTGGACGAAACAAATCCTCCAGGAGGCAAAGTATATTAACAAATCTCCGGCTCTCTTAAAATTTCTTACTGAAAATTGCGGTACAAAATAAATTCATGATTACATAATATTAATTAAAATTGTGTAAATTGATTAAATTAATTTTATTCAGGCGAATGGGATGAAGCAATCGGGGCTCTGTTTATGCTGCTTCATTTAATTCCCCCTACCGCACAGGGAAAGGCAAAGGGGAACCGGTGCAATATTGAGGATGCCAAAACAAGACTCGTAACTTATTACAAGGCAATAATCAGTTATGTCATACATTTTGTTATTTTCATAAATCTGTATTTTCTTATTGCACATTTTCTCTTGCAGGAAGGCACGCCGCTGCAATATATTTTGGACACGTGGAAAGGGGATGTAAAACAGCCAAATCTCCTATGTCTCGGAAGTGACAAAAACAGCTTGGACAATTTTTTTTATTATCTGTGACCGCCTACTCCTTCCACTTGCCGCAAGGAACTCCACCGAAGCCATCGATTCCTTGTTCAAATCGCACTATGTATTTGGAACTGAATATGACGTGAGCTTGCGGGGATTGTGGAAGTTTATTCAAGTGTACATCTTTAAGTTGGACCCTGAAGAACCAAATCTCCCCATGAAAGTTAAGCAAGTCTTCAACCAGCTCAACCGGGGAATCAATCAACCGCAAAAAAATGTTTAACTGTCCGGAATGTTTGAGGTTGGTCATAGGTAGCGATGAGCTAATAAGTCACGTGAAGTATATTCATTCTTATAGTCATGTAAATTTTAAAATAATTAATTGTCCTTTTCAAACATGTTGTGCCGGGCTAAGCTCATGGAGTGGATTCTTGCGTCATATCAAATCTCATGATAATTCAGTAGTTAATTTAATTTATCAGTGCAATAGTTTGCAAAATATTTCCCAGTCAAAATCTGATTATACTGTAAGCGTAGAAAATATTGAGGGGATATCTAAAACTTTTGACGCCGATAAAGCAGAGCAATGCCCTTCTGCTCTGGAAAATATGTCAGTGGATCTAGGAATTAAATTAATTACTGAATTGTTGTCTAACCTTTGTTCCTCTTTACTTGCTACAGGTGTAACAAATTCTACAGTAGATTACGTTGTGAGAGAACTTAGATATTCAATGAATGATATCTTCAATATTATTCTCAAATTAGGGAAACCTTTCTGCCCAAATGAATTTGAGAAATTTTATTCACAGACAATTAGCCTACTTAAATCGTTTGATGAAATAAAATCAGGATATCGTAGACAAAAGCTTTTGCTGAAGGAAGATCAATTTGTCTCGCCAAGGGAACTAACATTAGGAAGCAGGGTGGAATTAAGGGTTAATAATAACAAAAGGCAGCAAGTATTGGTTGAGGACACATTTATGTATGTACCTCTGCTAAAAACATTAGAAAAAATTGTAAAACTTCCGGAATATTCCAGGTATTTAAACTTTCATGAACATACTTCAAAAACTTACGCGTGTTATTCTCATTCAAAGTCATTTAAATCCAACGAATTATTTTCGAAATTTCCAGACTCTTTACAATTACAATTGTTTTATGACGATTTTGAAACGGTTAATCCGCTTGGGTCTAAACGGGGAGTTCATAAAATTGGGGCTCTATATTTTGTGCTACGAAATTCTCCTGACTTTGTCAATTCTCAACTAAGTCAAATACACTTATTAGCTTTATTTTACTCCGAGGATGCGAAAAAATACGGCCTTAATTCAATTCTTAGCTTAATTATTTCAGACATTAAAATTCTTGAAAATGAGGGTATTAAAACATTAGGGATGGACAAACTATTTGGAACAGTTAGTACCATCGTTTTTGATAATTTAGGAGGCAATGCAATTTTGGGATTTCATGAGTCATTCAATGCCAATAATTACTGCAGAATTTGTTGCACAAGCAAAGAAGAGGCTCAAACTATTTTCCAGCACGAGAAAATGAAAATCAGAAACGCAGAAAATTATTCTCTTGATCTCCAAAGAAAAACAAATGGGGTACAGAGACCTTGTATTTTTAACGACTTGAAATATTTCAAATTTCTTGATTCACCTTCTGTGGATATCACCTATTGGAAGGCGTCGTGCAATACGAGATCAAGTTAGTACTTCAAAAGTTAATTTCTTTAAAGTGTTTTGATTTGGACACTATTAATCAAAGGCTTATCTCGTATGATTTTGGATATCTAGACTCCAAAAATAAACCAAGTCCGATTAGGTTAGATAATACTGGGAATAGGATCGGTCAAAAAGCAGCTCAAGCGTGGTGCCTTATTAGGCATTTGCCAATTATAATTGGGGATCTAATTTTCACAGACGAAGCGATAAAACAGTGGGAATTAATCCTTTTGCTTTTAGATGTGATGAGTATTGTTTTTTGTCGTGAGTTTTCTGAGGCTATTCTGATTAGATTAGAATCATTAATTGTACAGCATCATTGCAAATTTAAGGAACTGTTCCCTGATTGTCGCTTAATCCCAAAACATCATTTCATGTGTCATTATCCTTTCGTTGTCAGGCAAAGTGGTCCATTAATTTCTCTTTGGACGATGAGATTTGAGGGAAAGCACAACTATTTTGCACAGTTAGCAAATAATACAAAAAATTTCAAAAACATCTGTCACACTCTTGCTTGGCGTCATTAGCAATATTCTGCAGTTGCCTTCAAAAAATTTTCAACTCAGATTGCTCTAAAAGCAGACAACATATTTTTACAGAAACTTTATCAGTTTTCAAATTCATTTGACGTTATTGAACTTTTGCGAAATAGTGACCAGTTCCGCGACTGTAACGTGGATACGGAAATTTGTACCACAAATCAGATATGGTTCAAAAATTATAATTATAAGCTAAACTTTGTAGTTTGTTTTGGACATGAATCTATTTTTCCAAAATTTGGTATTATTTCTGAATTTTTGCTTACAAATGAGTCAACCTGTTATTTACTTTTGCGTCAGTTAAATGTAGAATACTTCGATCGTCATTTTTTTAGTTACAGAGTCAACAATATAGGTGAGGTATATCATTTATGCGATGTAAATAATTTACCAATACATGATTGCTTCGAATTAATGCATAATTGCAGTTCTGATGGGATGTTTATTACTTTAAGACATCATATTTAATTTTTGATTTAATAGTACATATATATATATATTAGTGTATGATTTGTGTAGATAAGTTATGAAGTACATAAAATATTATAGAATTTGTGTTGGTGTATTATCTGGTTAACTATAGAATATTCCTGATTTTAAATACATATTTTAATTTGTAAGTGCTAAATATGGTATTATTTAGTGTGAAATAAAAAATTTGTTACAAAACGTTGTTAAAATGTGTCCCAATCCTTTACCTCATTATGTCAAAGCAGAGCTGACCTATTAGCTAAGCCGTCACCATCCGGGAAGGATTTGTCACCAAGCGGTAACGTGGACATATTAAAATATTGTGTTGCAACAACATAGCTGAGCACAACCCGTTATAATACTCCGGTGTTGCTATTGTCATAACGGCATGTTGGGTTGACACCGCGCGGTGCGCAACTTAATTGACACCACGTTGTGTCAATTTGACACCAATCCGGTAGTCATATATAGACACCGGCTTGGTGTCAGTTGGGTGTCGATTTTTCTGTGAGTGTATAATTGGCACAGGTACAAATTGACACAGGCGCAACGCAATACCAACAGTATTCCATATCCAATAGTTAATTCCATTTTTACAAGACAAGTTTTACCTATCTGATCTACGTCCCCACAATATAACTTCAAATATAAAATATACAATTATTTAATTTGTTATGAGAAACGATGAATTTTTAACAAATTTTGCCTTGAGCAAAACCGACTGTGATGAAAAATCTCATGATCCGCGTTGATTTCCCTCTCATTTTCCCCCAATATTTGGCTTAATGTCACTTGTCACTTAATGTCGGTTATTGTCACTTAATGTCAATGTCATGACATTAGGCCTCCAAAAGTGGCATTAACGAAACCCTGTCGGCAACCCTACGTCCAACCCAGCAGCGATGCTGGGTTAGTTCAACATGCAAAAATCAAATAGGTTTTGCTAAAAACCACGTCTGCTCAT